TTTTTTTTTTTTTTTTTTGTTTGAAATTTTCTCCACTCCAGTTTATAGGTTTGTACGCTACTGTTTTCCGGTGCCATGAAAACGCCGACGTGAAGGGTCTCGCCCTGCGCTCTGGTTTTGCTGGATGTAATCTGACCAGCTCTTCGGATATTCTGGCAAAGAATTGAGGATTCACTAATTTTTCAAATCTTGAGCTTTCGTGTAATGATATTATCAGGGGCCTAATTGCAATAATCTTGCACTGTTTCAAATTGGTCGTCGCATAACTATTAGCCCCCACATCTTGTATGGAGAGTTTCCTTACCGGCTGTTTTCTTTTCAATAATTCCCTGTTCCAGGCCCACGCCATACGGATGGCGGTTATTTCTCCGAGCCTGTCAAGTCCCAGGTAATGGACTTTCTGTCCTTTTTATCTTCAGCTTTTCTCTTCTTCTCCAAATTCTCTTCTCTTTCCTTTCCAGTTCTCCTTCTCGGAAAAATGAGGCGGATGACCTAATTTGAATTAAAGACAGATGATATCGATCGCCTATTACAGTGTGTCGAAAATTGGCGTCTCTTTCGTCGATTGCGCCTTAGTTTTCTATTGACAGGTTTACGATGTCGTGTACCATCATGGCCAGGCTGGTTCAGCCAGCCAGAGTTATATCGACGACTCGACCAAATCTATTATATTTCATAGAAATACTTTCATCGATTCTTCTATTTGTTTCCCATTCATTATCCCATATACTATGCTCATCTATTTTGCCTTTAAATTCTGCACATTCAATACCCCATTTATTAAACTCGACTATCTGTATCATTCAACATCCTCATCTATTATCCCTCTTATTATCTTTCCCATCTATGCTGCCCGTTTATTCTCGCCATTTTTATCCTGACTAATTTCCCCGTTGTTCTCATTTATTCCCCAATTTTACATCGCATCTATTCCCCCCGTCGACTATCCTTATCTATTGTTTATTGTCCCGTATATCATCCCATTAATTCTCCCTGCTCATTTTCTTGTTCTTTCTTATTGATTATCGCAGCTGTTCCCATTAAATTCTGCGTTCTTTTCCTCGCATATTATCCCATCTATCTGCCCCATCCATTCACCCATTTCTTACCTCATCTTTTCTTTCCATCAGCTATCCTTATTTATTTTCACTATCATAGTCCCAAGTATTATCTCATTGATTCCCCTATTCACTAACAATCACATTATAGCTTTATCCCAGTTATTCTCCCCAGTACTCTCTCCATTGTATTTCTCGTATATCATCCTATCTATCTTTCCCGTTCATTTTCCCGTTTAGTCTCTCTTCCATCACCCTCATTTACTGTCCCCGACTTCATTTACCAGTTATTACCCCATTGATTATCCCATGGTCTATTCCATTGATAATCCCATTAATCATCTCATTCTCTACGCTATTTCTTCAATTTTTCCCATCAACTACCTAATTTACTGTCCTCGTTTATATTCCCCATTGATTGTCCCATATATTATCCCACCCATTCTCCCTATTCTTTATCTCATTTATCATCCCATTTGTTACCGCATTTATTACGCTATTTTCTCCAGTTTTCCCCCATGCATTACCTCATCTACTGTCCCAGTCTATGTCACTCATTCATTATCCCATCCATTTTTCATTTTCATCACTTCAATGATCATGCCATTGAACATCACATCTATAACGCTATTTTTTTCAATATTCTCCCTTTCAGCACCCTGATTTACGGTCCCCGTATTTTTTAACCATTTATCATCCCGTTTATTATCCCATTTATTATCACTTTTATTATCCGATTTATTTTCCCACTACCAGCCCAAAATGCACAAAAAGCGAGTTTCAAAACGTGGATATGGTCTCTCCGGCTCCGGAAATGCATCATTCCCCTGAGAAGAAGAAAGTGAAAAACATTATTTCAGTCTCTGATCTTCATCTCAAGTCCTTGCGATGCATGGACTCGAAAGTTCAGAGGCAGAAGTCGCGATATAGACCTTCAGAGGTTTATACCTTGAATCCTCTACTGGATTTGCCCATCCGTGAAATTCTGGAAAGCCCCACAAATACAAAATCCCCAAATGTCACGAGCGTGCTGGCTCTGGACCACGAGCGTGGCGATGGCTTATCATATATTTCTGAGACATCAGTTTCTGGCTTGCCAGTGTCTATTTCCACATCTCATCGCATATATTACGCTCCCCGATACTCTCCCACCCACTCCCCCATCTGCTGTCCCCTATATTCCCCATACATGGTTCCATCGATCTCTTTATCATTATCCCATTGACTATCCCATTAATTCTCCGATTGAATATCTCATCAATTATTCAATTGACTATTCCATTGATTATCCAATTGGCTATCCCAATGATTATCCTTACGCTATTCTCCCCTATATTGTCCCTTTCATCTTTCTCATTTACTGTCCCCGTCCATATCACCCATCCATTCATTTTCTCTTTCTCTACCCCATTTATCACCCCATTGATCATCGCATTTATTCTCTCAATTCTTATCGCTATTCTCCTCAATATTCTCCCCAATTTCTCCTATACATTACCCTCATTTACGGACCCCGTCTTTATTATCCCATATTTTATCCCATTTTTTATATCGTTTTTTATTTCATGGACTACCCCATTGGACATCCCATTGATTATCGCATCTATCCCGCTCTCCCCAATATTCTCCCCCATTTCTCCCACCCACTACCCCTCTACTGTCCCCTCTACATCACCCATTCATTGGCCCACACACCCCAATTCTCTCTACTCTCCACCCCATTCATTATCCCATTTATCATCGCATAAATCACCCTTTCATCTCCCCATCTGTCCACCCCAAGATCCTCCCATATTCCCCATTCTCCCATATTCTCCATTCCCCCCAGCCTTTTGCAGCAGGGCGCGCGCACCAGCCTCCGGCCCCAACCATACTCCTTTTCTTCCTACCCGCCCTTCTTTGTGCCCCCACAAAAACACCCCCCGCCACCCCGAATCCGCCCGCAAACACCGCCGCAGGCAAACCAACCAGCCCCGCTTTGCCCATGAACTTTTTGCGCCGCCGCCACGCGCCTCGTGACGAGGATTCGCCCGGCGCCGAGGACCTGGATCCCCAGATCCACAAGTCCCGCAAACCGCCCAACACCGCGTTCCGCCAGCAGCGGCTCAAGGCGTGGCAGCCCATCTTGACGCCCAAAACCGTGATCCCGCTTCTTTTCCTCGTCGCCGCGGTGTTTGCACCCCTCGGCATCGCCCTTGTGTACGGCACCTACAACGTGCAGAACTTGGTGGTGGACTACACGCACTGCGGCAGCCTTGCGGGCGCCGAGTACGCGCCGGTGCCCGCCAAGTACACCGCGTGGCACTTCCGGCGCCACAACACGGACCCCGGGCTCCAGTGGCGCGTGCAGAACGCGACGGACGCGGACGGCGACGCCGTGCAGACGTGCGTGCTCCAGTTCGACCTCCCGCGGGCGCTCGACGCCCCCGTCTACTTGTACTACAAGCTCACCAACTTCTACCAGAACCACCGCCTGTACGTGGCGTCGTACGACACGGCGCAGTTGGGCGGGGCCGCGGTGACCGCCGGCGCACTCACGCTGGACTGCGACCCCCTCCGCACGCGCGACGGCAAGCCGGTGTACCCCTGCGGCTTGGTGGCCAACTCGCTCTTCAACGACACCTTCGGCAGCCCCGTGCTCCTCAACGCGCAGTCCGGCTCCGACAACGAGACGTACGAGCTCTCGCTGGCCGGCATCTCGTGGGCCTCGGACCGCGCGCACAAGTTCAAGAAGACCGCGTACAGCGCGGACGACGTGGTGCCGCCGCCCAACTGGATGAAGCGCTTCCCCGACGGCTACACGCTGGCCAACATGCCGGACTTGGCCGAGTGGGAGCACTTGCAGAACTGGATGCGCACCGCGGGCTTGCCCACCTTCTACAAGCTCTACGCCAAGAACACCACCACGGCCTTCGCCTCCGGCACCTACGAGATGGAGATCGGCTTGAACTACCCGGTTTCCGTGTACGGCGGCACCAAGTCCGTGGTGCTCACCACCAACTCCGTCTTGGGCGGCCGTAACATGACCTTGGGCATCGTCTACTTGATCGTCGCGGCCGTGTGCTTGTTGTGCGCCGTGGCCTTCTTCTTGCAGCACCTCATCAAGCCGCGCCGCATCGGCGACCACCACTTCTTGCAGGCCGCCGCGGACGCACCGGGAAGCGCCGCCAGGGACCAGCTCTAGCGCGCCCGGCTCCGCTTGGTCCGCCGGGGTCCGCGGAACTCTCCGGCCGCTGGTGTCCTCGGCCACGTGCTTTATTTGTCAGTGGGGAGCTCCGCCTTGTCTTGGCAAGTCCCACAGAACCTACTACATGTAGCAAGGGCCTCGGCTGGCTTTCGTCGTCGACAACGCCCTGTCTCGCGCTATGCGTGGTGGTGCCGGGTTTGGAGGGGCTCCTCCACTGCTATTCCCGGTCCGGAGGTCCATCTCTGGGGTGCTTTTGCACTGCAGCATATCGGCCAACTGTCTCCGGGCCCAGCTTCCTTGAAGTCGCATGCTCGGAGTCCTGCTGGCCTGACTTCAATCTACGAAGCATGGCGGTCCTGTCTTCAACCGCGCAGGGCCCAAATCGCTGCCGTCAATGGCATAGACCAGACACCTCGTCTGCCGGGCATGCACAATGTTAAAAAAGGTTGACGTAGAAGACGTGCTTTTCGAAACCGACCTGCCTCGCACTCCCGCGTCACGACAGATGTTTGACGCTGCGCGTGTTGCCGAGTTTTGGTGCGTCCGAATCAGCCTGATGCGGCGATGAATGAACAATGTTGGCTCCTGCTACCATGCCCGCGTCTTTTATGTAGATACTCTCGGGCTTCGGGTACCCGTTTTGGGACGTGTGATGCAGAGCAAGCGGTGAATAATGTTTACGGGCGGCCGCCTTCATATCATACCCTTTCAACCGCATTGTGACAGTCTCTGTGCGTGGACTCTGCTCGCTCTTTTATAAAACGGCTCTCTCAGATTTCCATTTGCTAGAGGTCCCCCTGAAGGTAGTCTGTCGTGCGCCCTTCTAATCAGGTATTTCCATAGAAGCAAGCCTCGATCTTCCAAAACAAACATCGCCGCTCAAATACTTCCAAAGCTCCGCTTTAAGGGATCACTTGGGGAACTTTACAGGAGCTTTGGACGTAGAATCCACCGACGCATCTTTGTATCCTAACAAAACCTACAGTCTAGCGTCAATGAGATCAGAATGGGTTGCTGATGACCACAGCCTGACATGTAAGGCTTCATAGTAGTTTCAGCATATCTCTAGACATTGCTAAACGAGGATGAAATCTTTGTGTATAATCAAAGGACCACCCGAGATATATTCTAGATTTGATTTTTCCTGGTCTAAAGTATACTACTCATACGGATTCACGATTGTACCCCCGTAATACCCCCCACACCCTGTTGTGCATTAACAAATCATCAATAATCAGAGCACAAAATATGAGAACAGCAATCAAGGCTTCTTCGGATTTATGACTTCAACTTTTAGCTGCGAGACACCATGTTGTGGACCACATATCCTAACCGATAGCCTAAACTAAAACAGTGCATTTTGACAGGCAGTATGGTATCGAGCACGGTTTAGCCTTCTCCAAAATTGTGTGGCACTCAATTCACAACGAAAAAAAAACAAAAAAAAAACACCCAAGCATCATTCAATTCAGTGCTGTTCATTTGGCCGGTAATTGTATTCACGCTCATTAGCGGATTCCATCCTTTGTGATCATTATCTGGCTGTGTAGGTAAAGTATTCTGTGATTTTCAATCTCTTGATGCTTCAACTGTCAGTTTGACTTGGTTCTTTTTGTCTAGCCTACCAAAAACGGCCTCTGAAAGCTCGGCATGCATTCTTGCCTTCGACCTATGAAGAGAGACTTCTAATATACTTGACCATTGGGAGTTTGCCTAAGCTACCTTACTTCATGAGATTTGATTATCGGACTTACCTCCCGGCATATTTCAAAAAAGTGTCTGTGATCCTGAGGCATCCAGAGGCTTTATGACTACGATCATATGCGTCAATACAGTTGGAGCACATATTGGCGCTATTCCAATACTACTACCAAACCACGCTTCTCCAATGAGTCTCATCAGTAAATAATTTTAGCTCGGGCACTAGGACTCAACACTCACGAGCTTCTTTATTGCGCTAGGAAAGTGAAGTCTGAACAAACATTCGCCTTTTCATGGGTAGCTGTCAACGTGCGCACGACACCAGGCCACACAAGCATTATATTCTTGGAACAAAAAAGAAAGAACAGAGAAAGAATACTCATTTCCAAGCAGCTGCCACAGAAGCCTTGCCCGCAAAACGATTTCCCCATATCTTTTCGTTAATTCCAGACCTACTTCTGTCGGGCCTATTAATTACGAGCCGAGACGCGCCCATTGCCTGCGCAGCCAAAACGCGTGACATGCGAGATTACGAGATTCACCAAACTCGACAATCCACCAAAAACATAAGGTATTATACATTATGCCGTTGTAGCCCACTTTTCAGGATACGCTACAAGCTACAAGCCATTTGCTACATGCTAAAAGTATATGCCATACACTATGCGCTAATGCTATAAACTATATACTATACACTGTGCACTGCGCACTATACACTCACTATCCATACTATGTAATCTATACCTCTACACTATCCACTGCCCAACATATACTATACACATTACACGAGTCGCCAACAAAAAAAAACATGAAAACAAAATTGAATCACGGCACACCCAACACACCTTCTATCTTCTTTCAGGACAGTAAGTCACTCGGACAAGTGCGGCGCTCCGGTCGTGCGTGAACCACAAACCCCGAAATCTCTGCGACTCTCAACTGATCTCCCCAAGACTTAGACAGCGCTAAAAGAAGCACCCAAGTCCCGCCAAACACGCGACTTTCCCATCAAACCTGCCCGTCTCCGGAACGTTTTTCTTTGCCTCTCTTCAGCGCCTTTCTCCAGCAAAAAAAACGGACTCGCAGGCGCCATTCTACCCAGAGTTAGCCGTGCCCAGACCCCGTCTTTAGACCGGCTCCACAGACCCCCTGAAATCGGCACAAAATGAACGTCAATCCACACCTCCAGTACTTGCAGCTGCAGCAGTCACAGCAGAATGCGGGCGGCGCGCTGTCGCCCCAAATGACACAGTTGCAGATGCAACATCAGCGGCAATTGCAGCAACAAAGACAGCTCCTTGGTCAGCAGCTCCACCAGCAGCAACAGCAGCAGCAGCCACCCATGGGCAACCAGGGCAACTCGCTCTTGGCGGCCCTCAACGGCAGCGCCAACAGCGGACCGAATTCCGCGCTCAATGGCGCAATCAGTACATCTAATATGGGCTCTAACATGGCTGCTCTTGGTGGTGGGAACCCCGCCAGCGGCTCCAACATGGCCTTTGGCCAGGCTGGTGGCCAGCTGGCGCTTTTGCAGATGCAGCTGCAGCTTTCCCAGCAGAGATACGGTAATCCCAGCCTCCAACAACAACAACAACAACAACAACAACAACAACAACAACAACAACAACAACAACAACAACAATCCCGGGATGCCCGGCAGCACGGCCAACAGCGCGCAGCCCGCGTTCAGCTGGTCCGGCCAGCAGGCGCCCGGCGGCCCGGCCAGCACGTTGAGCGGCTTGGAAATCAAGCTCCCGGCCAGCTCCAAAAGCCAGCCGGACGCGTCTAACTACACGCCGGCCGTCAACGACCAGTTGACCAAGCTCCGCGAGCAGTGGGACCCCCGGTCCGCAAAGTGCGCGTTGAAGACGCATCTCTACAATAAGTTCAGCGAGCAGGAGATCGCCGTGCTCTTGCAGCAGCCGCGGCCTGCCAGCGAGTCCCCCGAGGACTGGGAGAAGGCCATGGCGCAGCGGCCGTCGCCGCTCCACTACCCCGTGAAGGTCACGTCCTTCACGGAAATGGCGCAGCGGGTCGAGGTGCAGTTGGAGCATGTGGCCAAGTCGCGCGTGTTCCTCAACAACATCTACGAGAAGCAGGCGCAGTTGTCGGCGCAGCGCGACTTGGACACCACCACGCGCATTATGAAGGCCAAGGCGCGCCACACCAAGCTCTCGCGCCGCTTGTTGAAGTTGGCCACGCTCTTGGCGGTCTTGAAGCTCAAGGGCTACCCGTTGTTGCCGGAGGAGGAGGAGATCTCGCGGCAGTTCCAGGTGTTGAACGCGGCGTTGAGCGACCCCAACGGCGCCGTGGGGAAGCTCAGCGACCTCTACGCGCGCTTGGCCATCTTGAAGGGCCGGAGCGAGGACTTGTCGTCGCAGTTGGAGTCGTCCATCACGACCATGAACGGCGGGCTCAACACGCTCGCGAGCTCCTCGTCTGCTGCCGCGGGC